TTACGTATCGAACATAACGAGTATGAAGGAAAATTTACGAAAATTTATTATTTGACTATGATGTTACTACAACAACTTATTTTTACTTATGATCCGATTTTAGGAATAATATGACATAACATTCTGAAGCAATACTCTGGTTCTTTTGCGCCAGTTACCCCAGCCGTAATCTTGAAACGGTAGTAGCCATATGGCATTATAGGAAAGCGCGGATACTCGTGGGCCACTGTGGTATTCTCAAAGTAAATACATCTCTGAAAGTACAAAAAAAAGGGGAAAAAAAGCAAAACAAAGGTGAACATCAGCAGCAAACTAATGTTGATTCAAATATTCAATCAATGAGAGGATAATTTCAAATAGTTTTCGATAGCAAATAATGCGATACATCGAATCCTATTGAACTCTTTACATTCAACTAAAGAATTTTGGCGGTGTAGCCAGCGAACCTTTACAAGGCGACATGGCGTCCCTTTCTTGCCAAAGTACTTAGAGAACATCTCCGTTAAGATCTCGCGAGCGCTACTGCAGCCGTTCTTCGGGAAGAAGAATACAAAGGCATTTTCTTTCCACTGGTTGTTGCTGCGAACGTCCAGCACACCTTTAGACTGCACGCAAAATGACAGAAATTTTAAATCGTTAGACGGGTAAACCATCATGTGGGCTTCAACCTTTGAGCTAAGCCCCCCCCCCCCCTTAACACACACGTCAAAGTACTTAGTGTAAGCCATCCTCTAGACAAAAAATCAACAAATCAACACCCCTCTTTGTGTGTTAAAGACTTTCGTGCCTTTAGAGAGGCACGAAAAGATTCGAACCCTTGGAAGGGGCACGAAAATGCCACAAACGTACGCTACATTTTAGTGGCTTTGGAGACTTGCGTCGTTTTCTAAAGGAATTAAACTTTTAAACACCTTTAAAGGGGACAATTTTCCCAGTCTCGGACAAAAGATTTTTGAGAAAATTTCCTAAAATGTTAAGGAAGTCAATTTGTTACTTCGCGGGAACCGCTTTCAAAAATGAGAGCCAGGTGTCGGCTGTTTCAGTGGTAACATAGAAAAGTTGTGATTTACCAAAAATCACGAAGAGTTCTTGCAACGTGTTTTACGACAAACTCTGCGTTTGTTCTGCATTTTTCAAACAATGAAGTCGCTTGTCTCTAATGGAAAGACGCAAGACGCTCAGCTGCTGAGCGTCTTGTCGTCAGTGCTTTGCATTAGGGACATTGTAAAATGCAAAACTTTGTACTTTCTTCGAATGTTGTACCTTTTTCACCCATTTTTCTATACTCACCCACCATGTGTCATCCATTTCTTCTGTAAAGTTAATAAATCCATTCCACACCTGGTTTTCGAACTTTTTACTGGGGTTGAAGTGAGAAATCTTAAGGGATATCCTTTTGTCATCCTCACTGCATGTGGTGAACCTCTCAATCCATACGTTCCATGGACCCTAAACAGATAACTGCTATGTGAATTTTTAAACTTAAGTCGTGTAGCGCACAGGGTGTGCCTAAATGCAGTCAGCAGGTTTACCTACTAGCAAAAATAAACACAATAACGCAATGAGTTATATTAAAGACATGAAAAAAATGAGATGTATTAAAATCGAGCACACACTGCGAATGTCGGTATGCCTCCTCCACTAGCTGCGCGAAGAACCACCGCTGTCGTTAGAATTTTAAACACAAACGAATCCATACGTTAGCTGGTTCGAGAGTAGAGCTGTGACAAATCGTTGTCACACACATCCAGGCGACACCGGCAAATTGAGAGGGTGCTCTAACCGGAAGCGGTTAGCGTGTGGCAGCAGGGTCGCGAGCGCGCTGCGGGACTGCCCACCTGGCGGGCGTACAGGCACCGCTCGGCGGCGTCTGACGTCAGCCCAACACGAGGCGAACGCGAACTATACTTCCACAAGAGATAGGGACCCCCGTCACCTCCCCCCCCCCCCCCCCCCCCCCTTAACACACACGTCAAAGTACTTAGTGTAAGCCATCCTCTAGACAAAAAATCAACAAATCAACACCCCTCTTTGTGTGTTAAAGACTTTCGTGCCTTTAGAGAGGCACGAAAAGATTCGAACCCTTGGAAGGGGCACGAAAATGCCACAAACGTACGCTACATTTTAGTGGCTTTGGAGACTTGCGTCGTTTTCTAAAGGAATTAAACTTTTAAACACCTTTAAAGGGGACAATTTTCCCAGTCTCGGACAAAAGATTTTTGAGAAAATTTCCTAAAATGTTAAGGAAGTCAATTTGTTACTTCGCGGGAACCGCTTTCAAAAATGAGAGCCAGGTGTCGGCTGTT